CATTCTGCTTTTTAAGATTGGAAGAGTTGCATTATTTTAAAAAATTCCGTGTAAATGTGTGAATTTGTATGTAGTATATGCATGTCTGGGGGCAGGTGCCCAAGGAGATAAAGGAATAGAATCCCCTGGATCTGGAGTTAAAATGGGTTTAAGAACCTGATGTGGACACTGAACTCCGATGCTCTGGAAGAACAGCAAATGCTCTTTCCTGATGAGACATTTCTTTAGCCTGCCCACTCTCTTTGCATGTCACATGTCTTCTGTGTAGAGGCAATGGAAGGAGAAGGGATATGGAGGAGAGGGGAGGTGGCGGAGGTGAGGAGTGGAGGAGGGGAAAGCGTGGTTGGGATGTACTGCATGAGAGAAAAATCTATTTTCAGTTAAAAACATGGAAACTTTATAGCTCCTACATCATGACTTCAACCCTCAATTAGAGTCTTATTTTCTCTGTGCCTCAGAAGGAATTTGCAAACAGATCTTGCTGTAACATCCAGTTACTAGTGTGCTTTAATTAACATTGTTTTGATAAATACTGAAACTTTGACACACATATAGCTGTAATGAAGGTTTTCCCCCCTAGCATATGTAACAGGCAGACAGGACAAAACACGATACACTATGAAAAGGTGGAAGTCCAAAGTGTGGTGGAGTGGATATACTTAGAATTCTTTGATGTCCCATTGTAATTCAATTTAGGAACTATCATACTGAGGGGAAAAAGCTATTGAATTTCATAGGTTCTAAATCAATAATCAGTGTACGTCCTCACTAAGAAGATGGTAAATAGAAATCAGGGACTGAGTAAAATGAATTGGGAAAAATATTATTTATTTTAACTATCCTTCAATTGAACTATGCTTTCTATCCTTTAATAATAAATGTAGGTAATATAACACAGCAGTCCTGGCAGAGAATGCCAGAGCAGGTCTAAGTGTGCATGATCTTCCCTGATATCTGGAAACTTCTAATTTGGGTATCATCTTCTCCTTTCCTACCTCATAAAAGTGACTCACTGTATCTAGACTACACACAGGTGGTTTGGAATGAACACTTGCTTGTTTTCTGTCTATCTGGAACTTTGATACATGACAGATAGTGAGTGCCAATGTGATCAGCCTCAGTAAACACCTCTAAACGCAGAATCTCTAATGATTTCACTGGACAAATTCATCACTTACAGCTTGATGCATTTTTGTTGCCAAGGGAAGAGTTCATTCTCTATGCCCCTGAATGGGCGGCAGAGTAAAGCCTGTACATGAACTCTTGTGCATTCTTCCTCTCTCCTGACAGGAGTCTGCAACATGTTGTCACATCTCTGTAATAAATCTTCGATCTGAGTACGAACACATGTGGGATCCTGAAAAAGCATCCTAATGTGAAGGTAACTGTGGGGATGACCACACGGCGATGGCGTTTCATAGAATGACCCTGTTTCTTTAAATGCAGCTCCCGTGTCATTTGAGGACTGACAAGGGGAGAGCATGCTGAAAACCTGGGATGTGACTAATAGTGTGGGACAGCAGCAGATCTGTTGCCTGTGGCTGGCCATACGTACAGTTCACTTATGAAATTAGCAGAAAAATAAAAATAAATAGATCCATGCCCGGAGAGGTAGCTCTCATCATTTAGTATGTAAATGATTTAGTACATAAAGTATTAACTCCACATAAAGTGAGGGCAAGAGGAAGAGCCTACAATCTGGATGATGACTTTATTGTTTTTGTGCTTCTCTTTCTCTGCACAAGGGAAGAAAGGTTATAGAAAACCTACTCTAGCACTTACTCAGCCTTTCTGCTGCTAGGGCTCCCCACCCCTGCTTTCTATTGCAGCTTGGCTTTATCACTGATTGACCCCTGTAAATGGCAAATGGATCCACTAGTGACTTGAGTCGGCTTGTAATTATGCAAGAAAGGGAATTTTCATTTACAGCTTTGTATTTCTGATATTGCATTTGAGTGTTTGATACAAAGTGACATATGCTTATAATTTTGTACCAATTACAAGTTAATTTCAATTAAAGAAAGTCACATAGAAAAAAAAATCAGAAAAGCATGACTAACAGTAAAGTGGAACATACTGTTTATTATTTCATCATGACAGTGTTATCCTTTAATACCTAGTATTTAACATCTAACTATTAAGTGGTGACAAGTTATACCGTGGAAGAGCACAGAGCTGACTCTACTGGAATACCTCTGGCTTGATGACTTCACGTATCTGATTGCCACCAAATGCACTTCATGTGGAAGTTCTTGAACTTAGGAAGTTCATATGCTTTATGGAGAAAAAGCTAAGTATTCAATACCTCCATTAATTTTTAACAGTCTTTGAAAAGGACAAAGGCAAAAATAAGTAACTTCTTTTTTTAGGGTAGATTATTTTATTTTATTTGAGGAACAATGTCATTTTACATATCAACACCCCCCATTCCCTTGCCCTCCCATCCTCCCATGTCCCCCACCAGCCCCCCAACTCACCCCCACCCACTCCCCAAGGATAGTGAGACCTTCCACGGGGGATCAACAAAGTCTGTCTCATCATTTGGGGGAGGGTCTAGTTCTTCCTACATGTATCTGGGCTGCAATAGTATCCATCCATAGAGAATGGGCTCCCAAAGTCCATTTGTGCACTAGGACAAAACACTGGCTCCACTGTTAGAGGTCCCACAGACTGCCTTGGCCTCCTAGCTGACACCCGTATTCAGAGGGCTTGGTTCTGTCCAATGCTGGTTCCCCAGCTTTACAACTAGGGTCTCTGTGCTCTCACTAGGTCAGGCCAACTGTTTCTGTGGGTTTCTTCAGCACGGTCTTGGCTCCTTTGCTCATCCCTTATCTCTCTCTACAACTGGATTCCAGGAGTATGACTCAGTGTTTAGCCGTAATTTGTAGGCAAATGGATGGAACTGGAAGAAAACACAGAGGGAGGTAACCCAGCCATAGAAAGACAAGCATGGTGTGTACTCACTCATATGTGGATATTAGACATAGAGCAAATGACTACCAGCCTACACTCCACACCACCAGAGAAACCAAGAAACAAGGAGGACCCCAAGAGAAAAACACATGGCCCCCCGAAGAAGGGGAAAGAAACAAGAACCCCTGAGCAAATTGGGAGCACGGGGATAGAGAGGGGGTAGGAAAAATAAGTAATTTCTAATAGCCACTATCCGCTCACTACTCATACATGAACGTTCTACCTTTAGAAATTCCACTGTCTGCCAGGCGTTGGTGGCACACGCCTTTAATCCCAGCACTTGGGAGGCAGAGGCAGGTGGATCTCTGCGAGTTTGAGGCTAGCTTGGGCTACAGAGTGAGTTCCAGGACAGCCTCCAAAACAATACAGAGAAACCCTGCCTCAACTTGATGTGCCAGGCTTTGTTGACTACACTTTTTGTCTGCGAGAAGGAAACTTACCATGCTGTCTTTGCAAGCTGTGATCCATATGAACTCTTGGAGACTGTACATTTTACATGTGGTCCATAACCATCATGCCATTCCCTCAGCCTTGGAAGATGCCGGGGTTAACTTCAACCTACTGGCCACAGATGAGAGGGATCAGGTGAAAAAAAAAAAAAGATCCAGAAAGAAACAAGGAAAGAGGCCACTGGTCACCTTAGAACTTTAAATTTAAATTGATGGGGTTTACTTAAGCTGCTAAGTCTGGACCTCCTAATGAGTGTGGGATCAATGTTACAGGTTGATGTCATACCGCTTTGTAGTTCTACTGCTTAAAGTCTTTCTGACAATGGATCAAAGGGGTAGAATACACAAAAAAGAGTGAACGCAGTCAACCTGATTGTTGTCCTTGGGCCTTCTTAAAGGGTAGGCTCTTAGCTGACAACTGAGAAAGTTGACTTAGGAAACATTCTGACTCTTTTCCAACTCATAAGAGTGACCTGATCCCTAAATGATTTTTTGCAGAGTGATTCACACAAATCACTTTTTCTTCTATATGTTTGGAATTTTGCTGTGTTCTAGTTAGAGGAATCCTATATAACTAGCCACAGTAAAAAATACAAATAACTCCCTTTCTGAATATTAAAGGATTTCTTGGGGAAGAAATACTGAGATGTTTCAGATATACTTATGAGTTTTCATTGCTGTGGGAAGAATATAACCTATGATACTCCCTGGGCAAAAGGAGGCCTTCTTGTGAATTATTCCACACTTGCCTATGTCCCATTATCCTTATGACTGAGCTATATTATATAGCCTTACTATTATCATTTATTAATTCTTAGCCCTGAATATAACTATGTGCTGGGCTTGGCTACATTTTTCTTATTACATTAGTAATATGCATGTGTTAAAATTACAATTACACTTTTTAAATTAAGTCAGATAGTACAACTGCTACCAGTTTCTTTCTTATGTAACATGTTGATAATAAGCACATGTATTATACCACATGTAAAATAATTAAATATTTAAATATTAATATTGTTCTTGGAGACAATTCATTTCCTTTGAAATCTTAAGTATTCCATTTGCTACATTGCTCTGTGTGCCTGACTCTGACAAGTTGCCAGTGAGATTCACCAGACTGCCAATTAGATCTTCACATAAAGATGTTTCAGATGGGTGGTTGGGAGGAAGGACCTGAGAAGGAAGGGAGGGAGAGGGAACTGAGAGTAACATGGGTAAAAAGTTAAATAAAAAATTATATGTATATATACATATATACATACATACATAGTGGTAAACCTAGGGAAAAAAGATGTTTCAGACTCCTCTTGAGGTGGACACAGTGGTATATACCTATAATCCCAACTCTTGGGAAGGTAAACAGGAATAAGTCTATGAAATGGAGACCAACCTGGGCTACATAATCAGTTCATGCCAGTCTTAGGTACAGAGTAAGACCCTGTCTCAAATTTTTAAAAAGACCCCTAGAAATGAATTATTACATTGGACTAGGTTAGCTAATTACTAATAGGCAATGTTGCTTCTTCTAAGTGAAGATAACTATATACTCTGAGTTTTATCTTACCACAAGGAAGAAAAATTTCTATAGATTTTATTTAAAGGGGCTGCAGGACACAACTTCATAATTACAATTCAAGATTGTTTAATTTCAGTCACCTAAACAGTGTACCTAAAAAGTAGGATATAATTAGGGTTTTATGGTCATGTTGAACTTTCTGAAACAATGATGCCCCCTGATAGAATTTGGGTTTACTATGGAAATTTAATTCAAGTCCATAATTGTATAAATAAAAATTCCAAATTCAAACTATGAAAATATTTTTTTCACTTTTCAGAACACAAATTGCCTTTTGGGTTTCAGGTAGGAACAAAGACAAAATTTCATGCAATTATTGAATGTAGAAATGAATCTAGACAGAATAACTTTTCATTGGCACTGACATACTGTAACATTAAATCTCACGAAGTTACTTATAAATATACCTTCAGTTATGTTTGCTAGATTAAAAACAATTGAAGATTTACACCCCAAGAAAAATCTCTCCAGTCAACTTAATGGTTAACACCTTAAATTTTATTAAAACTTACTATTATAAATGTTATTTGGCAGGGCCAATGGAAAGAGAAGTAAGCATAGTACCCCCATCTTAAAGATAGACATATGGAGGTATGTTATTTGTTAGCAAATGCTTTCCTTTACAAGGAACCAGTATGAAGCAGAGAAGTTTTTACATTGTCTGTAACTAAAGTATTTCTTCGATTGAATACAAATATACTATGCATGTAAAAATACAAGAAAGTTTGTTTTCACAATAGTTAGCACTCTTCTGCCTATAGCTAACATTTTCTCCTTCTTCTATGGTAAACTGCACTTGAGTAGCCCACATGCCTTCACAACTTTGCACAGAGCATTTCCAGCATCATATCATCCATGCTGACTGCACCAATGATGGGTCTGAAAAAGAGTTCAGTGATGACATCAGTATTGATGAATCGCAGTAGGAAAAGGGCACTATTCAGTTCAGCGGATCTGATCTGGTACTCTCTCTGCATCACCCTGATGTGTTCAGTGAGGATCTGCTGAGTTCTCCACTGAAGGCCCTGGATGTATTTCACACACTGCAGGCCAGGCAGGTCTGGAAGTAGAAAAATCTCTTTATTTTAAACAGCTCACCACAGAGATCTTTATGTTCTTAGATCACATTAAGTTTTTGTCCCTTCCCAATTCAAAAGTGCTCAAGCTTCTTCATGAGGAGGGTTTCCTGGGGGCAAGAATAACATTCTAAAAACAGTCCTAACTTTTCAGAAGCAACACATCTCAGAATGAAAGAACACACACTCATTTCCATTGAATATTCAGTAGGTTTGTGAACACACATTTGGAAAACACTGGCGGTGAGCCAACAAAAGAACACTTAGAATAGAACTGAATGTGTCACAACTCCAGTTCATGTTCTTTGAAATGATAAACTGATGTTGTTTCAAGAGAAATATACCTATGAGAAATATACCAGTTGATAATGATAAGTTTTGCCAGATTAAAAATATTTTGCCATTCTTTCCAACAATTATACTGTCTAGTCATTATATTGTAAACTTTGCAGCCATAGACTGTAATTAGTCTGTTTTTCACATTATTGGACTCCAAGCTGATATTACTCTAGAGGTCATAATGAGTTAAATGCTAAGGATTATTGATTTACTCACTAATCATGATTTTCAAATTGGAAAAAAGTTTTAAAAATAAGTCTAATGAATGTTCCAAAGAAAATACAGACAGAAGCCTTTTGTTTTTTAAAAAAACATCTTAATGATATTAAAATGTTAAAAAATAAATATAAAAACATAACAGAGTGTAAGATTATTCAAAATCAACTTCGAAACAGATTTGATTTAAATGATGATATATTTTTCCTTCCCTTTTCTACAAAATTCAACAGATGATTACTTCAAAAGCATCATGCTTTAAAAACAATAATCTTGATAGAAAAGAAGCATTCCTATTATAGGCAAATAACAAATCATAAAAAGCAACACAACAAAGAAACACTTCTTATCTAGATTATAACATAACAGCCCATGTAGTAACATCCTCCATTCTATTTGTATGCTGATACTAAAGGCTTCATCTCTATTTGATTGTGTGTATATCCCACTGAGAAAGTTTCTCTAGGTCTACACAGACTTGTGGTCTGCCAAAGCTTCATTTTGTGAAGGCACCCATTATATTTCACACCACAGCCCCTGGCCCTCTCCTTAAAGTAACTAATATTGTCTTTGCATTAAAATTTCTTTTTAGGATACAAACTAAGAGGTTTTGTTTGGTTCCCCTTTCCAACGTCCCACATCTTCCTGCCCCCCCACTTGTATCCTTCCACCCACACAAAACTTCCCTTTAATGTAACGCCAGAAAAAAGGCAGATGGACTCCCCAGTTTACATATCTCCTTATCCTTTACTTATCTCCGCATGTATTTATAGCTAACATAAAACTTTGTGCATCTTTGTTATATATAAAGACAAGGGGATGCAGAAAGGTAATCAGGAAAGAGAGGCCACACATTTTACAGATGCTACATTGTGCCCAAATGTGGCTGCATTACTATTTAAAAACACAATTTGGTGGGATAAATATTGAGAGAGGACTCAAAAAATAGAGGAAGAATGAGGAAGAAGAGAGGAAGAGAGAAGGAGGGAGGGGGGAATGAGGTAGGTGTGTGTGTGTGTGTGTGTTTGTGTTAATGGAGGCAAAGGATGTGAAACAGGGTCAAGGCAAGTGGGAAACTACTGGAAATACTGCCTTCTGAAAGCTTCTCAGCTTGGTCTCCACTTTGAATCTTAATAGTGCAGGACTAACACTCGGCTGAAAGAATGAGAAAACTGGTTGTCAGATGGTCTCAAGAATCACCTGAGCCACTTGTATTTGCAGACTTGCAGAATCTGGATTGGGCTGAACTATTAACTCCAGAGGGGAGGAGCTTAGGAAGGCATATCACCCTGCACCAAGCTCTTCTTAAAGGGAAATTTGGGAAAATAGGAACTTATGAAGAACTTGTGTGAAAAGAGCAAAACCTTTTTCTTTTTAAAGTTATGCTACTGGAACTCAGGGACAGCTAAAGAGGGAAGAGAGAGCCATGTCCCACGAAGGCAGAAACTTCAGTATCAGCACATGATAAAACTAGAGCGCCAAGTGAAAATCTTTCTCTTCACCCACCCCATCCAGTAACAAGTTTTTGGCAGAAGCTCACCCACTTGGCGGGGTATTTGGGATGTGTCCATTAGCTTTGCAGAGTCTGTCACCAGGCTCCATGTGTGCTCCAACACCCCTACAGCCAGTGAAAACTCCTAAGTGCCTTGTGTAGGAGTGGTGATTTTGTGACATAAAGGGGCAGTGCAAAAGGCTGCCATTCTTACCTGGGTTAAAGAGCACGGCCCCCTTCAGATAGGCATACTCCTTGGTATCGATGTTCAGACTCCAGCACTTGATAAAGAAACTCTTTATGGCTTGGACCGCGGAGGCCGAAGGCAGGTGTCCAGCCTCCGCGGAGGACACCATCTGTGGCTGCTCTTTGGCCAGGGGATCTGAGGGCTCATCGCCCTCCGTGGTCTCCTGCCTCCTGGTGGTGAGCATCTTCTGCAGCACGCTAGGCTCCGAGATCTCCATCATCTCGAAGTGCAGGTGATCCTGGGCGAGTTCAAGCATGAGTAGGGGCGCCCAACAGCTCCGCACCAGTACCAGCTGCTGATCCAGGGGCAGGATCTGGAAACAGGGCAAATACTTGACAAAGCGCAGCGTCTTCAGCAGGCCTGCTGATGCTGCCTCGCACACCACCTGTGGATTCTTGAGTGTCAAAGGACGCCACACGCCAGAAGAGGCGTCCCACCAGGGGGCCCTAGGTGGCTGCTCCTCCGGAGCCTCGGGCAGTTGATCTGCGCTCCCGGGAGTGCCAGAGGCTATGCTGCTCTGCGGGGGCTGCTCTTCACCGCACACGTAGCTGCGGTACAGGAACGCCATGGCCTGTGCGCTCTGTAGCCCCTCTGGACCATCCACTCTCTCAGTACAGTAGGACAGCTGCCACCACTCGCCACCGCGACGTGCCTCGGACGCTTCCGGAGCCACGTGCGTCTGCTTGGCGCTAGTGAGCAAGCTGTACAAGATGCTGCCCTGCTTCGGGTGCTCTTCTCCACAGAAGCAACAGCGGTACAGGAGCGAGGCTGCCCGGCCGGGCGGCGGCCCCTCTCTTCCCACCAGGGGTTCGGCGCTGCCGCATGCACAGCCCCAGCACGGGGATCCGAATCGCGCCCTGGGCGCCTGGGTCACTGTGCTTGACTGCTTGGCGCTAGTGAGCATAGAATAGAGGATGCTGCCCTGGCGCGGGTGGTTCTCCCCGCAAAAGCAGCAGCGGTACAGGAGGGACATGGCTTGCCCTCCGGGCAGTCCCTCCCCGCCCAAGACCGGCTGAGCACCGCAGGCACAACCCCAGCACTGAGCCCCCAAGCGCACCTTGGGCTCTTCCGGAGCAGCCGCGTGTTTCTGCTTCGCGCTCATCAGTAGATTGTAGAGGATGCTTCCCTGCAACGAGTGGTCCTCACCCGCCATGGCCCGAGGCTCCTGCTGCCGGTTCTGCCCAGTGGCCGCCGCTTGGGACTTATTTATACTGAGCGCACACGCAAGCGCGTCCGCCTCCTCCGCCAGGACAAGGGCGCAGAGGGGGACGCGCCGTTGCGCTTGAATGTGTGCGCTCATGACCTCGGAAGTTCAAAGGGGCAAAGACTCCTTAGAAGCTGGAAATCCAAGGGGAACTTCTCAGCGCTGGAGTTCGTGGACCCTTCCTTCCTTCCTCATTTTATCCCTCCTTCCCCTACCTGGGAAGGAGGACCTGGGGGAGTAAGTTAGGGCTCTGTTCCAACTCTTGCCATTGAACTCCGACGTCTAATTTATTCCCTTTATCGGCGGAAGAAGTGCTTAAACGAGAAAACATTCCATTTCAATGGCATCTTTATAAACTTTTATGGAACGATCACAATCTGTATAACTTGCATTTTGTATAATGTTTGGAGAGTGAGCTCTCGTTTTAAGACCTTGAAAAGTGTAAACACAGACCAGTAGTGGCTTCAGCATCGCACCAGCAGGCTGAAATGCTTTCTCTTCAGCCGCAGCCAAACTACCTGAGTGTGAGTTTCAATGAAATCCATTCCCTGGCTATACATAGACACCTTAAATTTGAAAATCGTTGGTAGATGCAGGCAATAATGCTCAGTTTAATTGAATCAATCACCCATTGTGTCCTAGATGCTTGGATCAAGGAGCTGGGGGGGGCGGGGCGGCTGCAAACGTTATTTACTTGTAGCTGAATCTTGGGAACACAATAATCGCAAGATTGTTGCTGTGAGAACTTCTCATACTTTTGTAGAAGCAGAATGCTGATAACTGTCCCTGTTCCCAACTATCCTAAGATACTAATGACAAATAGAAGAATCAGAAAGCCTGAATGCTGGCATTTGTCATGGAGCCTCCTTTCTTCTGTCTCACACACACATGAGACCGGAGGGCTCTTTCTAGTCAACCATGTGACTGTGTCTAACTTGATAATTCTTATACTCATTAGCCCCCTCACTTTAAGAGCGCAAGCGTTTGGCCTTACTGGACAGGAAGGGGGATTAGAGCACACCAATTGGTATGGAACCTCTCTCTCTTCCATTTTCCCTCTTTGTCTTCTGTTCCTCTCCTCCCCACTTTCAGTTATATAGGGCCACTGTAATGTAAGAAAATCAAAGACACCCTCAATCTTCCCTTTTTCTTTTTGACAACTTCATACATGTACAGAATTTACTGTCATCATATTCATCCCATTATCATTGCTTAGTCACCTTCTCCTGCTAATTTCATCCTCCCATTCTTCATCCCAACTAGTGTCTGTCCCTCCTACTTCCTTGTTTTTATTATTCATTCATTCATTCATTCATTCATTTTTGTTTAATGCAGATCTTTTATGGGTAGCCATAGCTTCTATGTGGTCAAGAGTGCAATGATTATATAATGTCCAGAAGAATGAGTTTAGTAGCATTCTTTTTTTTACAGTCTTTTTGCCATATCTTACATAATGCACCCTATGTCTTGGAGGCATGATACAGATATCCCATTTAGGACACAGTACTCAACAGTTAATATGGTTTTTGCCTGTGACAGGCCCTATGGCACAGAGGTTTAACTCCTTGCCCTGGCACTTGATGAACACCATTTAAATCCTGGTTCTGTTATTTTGTAGTTCCTTGGCCTTGAGGAACATATTTCTTACTATTGCTATAGAAATGACCACAAATGTTGTGATCTACAGCAAAACAAATAACACAAATTTATTATATGACAGTTTGAGAAGCCAGAAATCTGAAGTCAGTTTTAGTAGACTAAAATTACAGCACCATTCATTTCTGGTAGTTCTAAGGAAGAATCTATGTCCTTGCCCCCTCAAGATTCTAGAAACTTCCTGCATTCCCTGGCTCTTGGACACAACAGTCCCATTTCTGCCTCCGTCTCCTTCTCTGATTTTTTATGGACATTTGTGATTATGTTTAATCTACCTAGATAGTCCAGAAGGATATTGCTATCTCAAAATCCCCAAACCTAATTACATCTGCAAAACTTCTTTTGCTCCATGAATAAATTCATACCTTCTTATGACTAGGACCTGCACATCTGTGAGGACACATTATTCAACCTACCATAGGAAAATTCCTTAATGTACATATTCTTAAACTTCTTTACCTGTAAAAAGTGGACAGTGGTCTCCGGGATATAGTTCTTATATATGAGTTAGTTTGTTTAGATTAGTTAAAGAATATTAAACATCATAAGTTTTATTTTTAGGACCACAGGGAGTACAGTAAGGATCAAGAAGTAATACTGCAAAACACTATCATAATGTTGTCTCTTGCTGAAGCTCTTCCTCATTCTCTCTTCAAGCATTTGCCTCACTTACTCTACATGTCCACCTTTCCAGATTCAAACCGCTTGTGGGTCATGTGATCTCCAAGAATTCATATTGACAGTGATTGTCCATTCCTTTATCACTTTGAATATTCAAGCTACTGTATTAATTAGGTTTGCTATTGCTGCTTAATGATCTTTTTTCTTAACCTTCCAAGCATCCCAGCCGAAAAACAGGCTACCCAAGTCTCCCACCTTGAGGTCATAGTGCTAGATATAATTTTATTTTCTTCTCAGCCCCTGATTATTTGTTTACTTAGTTACACGATACTTATCAATCATCTCCCCCAATCCATATCAAAGTTGTTTATGTGCAAGGAATCGGTCACTCCGTACCTACCAATTGGTTCAATGTTTTAGATCCTCAAAAATGTACTTATTGGGCAACTGGAATTTTGAAAAAAGGACATCACAATCTGAAAGCACAGAGGCCGGCCATTCCTACACAGTCAGCTGCTGACTCTTCTAGGGAGATAGCAGGCTTTGTTAGATTCAGAGCTCCTGGTACAAGTATTGTTACAATCCCTACAACAAAGCAACAAGAGATACAGGTTAACAGTTAAGAAATAGGGCTCCTCTGTTGTAAAGATATAATGGGCTCTCAAAGTGTTCTTTGATTATTATTATTAATAATAGATATGGATTATATAGTTATGGTCTTCTTGTGACAATTCTATTAATGCATTTATCATATTTTGCCAGGTCCACTTCCCGTATTACACTCCTTAGCCATCCTCTTCTCTCGATTTCATATAAGAAAGAAAATGTGGCAATCATCATGCTTATTCTGTCTGACATGATGATTTCACTTCCATTCTTTTTCTCCTGCAAACAATAGGATTTCTTTTTCTTTACAGCTGAATAAACTACAACGTGTGTGTGTGCTACACTGTCTTTAGTTATTCATCCAGTGATGGACCATGGCACTAGTCATACTATGCAAGTTACAGTGTCAGGGTATATTTATATCCATCGCACACTGACCTTTATTCCTTTGGCGTACACACCTAGTAGTAGCATAGCTGAATTTTTTTGGAAATTCAATTTTTAGGGTTTTATTTTTGAAGAACCTCCATATTGATTCTCATAGTGGTTGGATTAATTGACACTACTACCAACCCTTATAGGTTAAGTTTTCCCTGCAACCTTGCGGGTGTTTATTGTTTTCTTTCATCATAATAAACATTATTCCTGGGTAAAATAGAGTTTTAGGGTGGTTTTAATTTGCATTTCTCAGATATCTAAGGATACTGAGCTTTCTATTCATATATTCATTGTACTTCTTTTGAAAACTGTTTAAATCATTTGTTTTTGTTCATTATTTAATTGGATTATTTGGAGCTTGGGTATATACAATTTTAGTTCTTTATATAGCTTAGATATTGATCCATTGTCAAGTATATAATTCAATTCAATGTATCACCTTAGGTTGGCTTTATCTGTTGTGAAATGTGGACAAATTTCAATAAATCAATATTAATATGGACTCCCTTTGTTAAACCTTTAAAGGATTTTGTATCTTCCTCTCAACATAGTGATTTATAGAAATGTTTGCCTTCCCTTTGTTAAGGACAAATGGAAATATATTATCTTAACTATATAATCATTTATTCTGCCATTTAGTAGAGTGTCACCTTAAATACATCATTGCAAATTACATTTTGTTTGTTTGTTTGTTTTGTTCTGAAATAGGATCTCATGTATCTCAGGTTGGCCTCAAACTGCTGTGTAGTCAAGGATGACCTTAAACTTCTGATTATCCTGCCTCTGCCTTTTGAGTATTTGTATTATAGGCATGCATGACCACAATATATTTAAACAGGACAGGGGACTGATCTCAGGGCCTCTGGAATGCTAGGCAAGCTCTCTAACAATTACGCTACATCCCTGCTTATGAACTAATTTTAATATGTGCACCTTAACTAATGCCTTCAAGGTTTCCCTTAAAATCTTTTATCTAGTATGTTTTTAAATATCCTGGAAACTTAAACCCGTTTTGTTTTACTTTAACCATTCATAACCCTCATATATCTAGTGTTTTTGAATCAGGATTTTAGGTTAGCATCTATGATTGAAACTTGAGAACAGCGCTGAGAGGTACATGAATTTGTAATGTGCTCATTGTTTCTTGTCTTTCCCAGTAACTTAGTTTTCTAATTTTTTGCATTTTCCCTTGAAGTTGTGATCTGATCTTCTATTTGCAACTCTGAAGGACTTTCTGAGCTCTTTGGATTGACTGTTTCTAAAGAGAGATTGCCTGTTTGTCCTTCAGAAGTATTCATCCTTGGAAATGTCAGGAGAAAACTGACTTCATATTTCCACTCTATATTTTTTTACTGAACAAATGGCTCCTGGGAAGCAAAGTCATCCAAATCCACCAATGTGTTTTGCTGCCCTGCTGGGCTCTACAGGATTAGCAAAGATATAACCTTCTAAGGCAGTCACAGCCTTTCTCATTTGATTTGTTCTTTAGTCTCAGACGATTCTGATAGTAAGACAAAGGGACACTTATCAAATTAACCTGTCATATGCTGAGTCTGTCCCTAACTGCAATTCAGATATTAATACTGACTCATTGTGTGATGACCTTGGCCAATTGGACACCTGCTTTGTAGAATGCATTATCTGTTCCAACTCAAGGTGGGAGTAAAGCTGTTCTGCCTGCC